CTTCACACTTGTAGGGTTTCTCTCCAGAATGAATTCTTTGATGTTGCTTCAGCATTGAAGGATAGTAAAATAATTTGCCACATTCTTCACACTTGTGGGTTTTTTCATCAGTATGATTTTTCTGGTGTATAAAAAGTGAAGAGCCAGTATTGAAAGTCTTATGACATTCCTTACATGTGTAGAACTTTTCTCCAGTATGAAGTCTCTGGTGTATGGAAAGTGTTTTATAAGAACTAAGGCCCTTACCACATTCTTTACACTGGTAGGGTTTCTCCCTTGTATGAATTCTCTGGCATTGAATACTTAATGAGTTACAGTCAATACCCTTGCTGTAATCATTATAATTGTTGAATGTTGTTCCTGTTGAGCAAAAGTTGAGATATGAACAAAGCTTGGAAATATTCTTCATACTTATAATGTTTATCTTTTCCAAAGGAAACATTTACTCATACATATTGAAGCATCAATGAGAAATTACAGTATATTTCAAAACCTAGAGGGACTAAGCATGAATGATAAAATATTGTAGGTAGAAATAATCTATACTTCTACTAGAAAAATGGCATGACCAAAAACAACCTAGACATAATAGCATAGTATTCAAAGTTTAATAACTAATAATGTTGTAAGGGCATTTTAAAACAGAAATAAACCCATTAAACAATAAACCACTGAAATTATAAATCAAGAAGTGAATCCAAAAAGAGACAGTTAATTGTGACTGTATGAATTTGAGCCATCATCTAAAAAAAGCATCTTTATCCTCCACATAAAATTTTAATTTGGAAGGTAGAAAAGTTATGCTGCACGAACAGGAGATGGTCCACAAAAAATTAAATTTATCGCTCAAAAATTTAGGACACTATTTTTTTTTAAAGATTTATTTATTTATTATGTATACAGAAGAGGGCACCAGATCTCATTACAGATGGTTGTGAGCCACCACGTGGGTGCTGGGAATTGAACTCAAGACCTCTGGAAGAGCAGTGGGTACTCTTAAACTCTGAGCCATCTCTCCAGCCCCTAGGACACTATTTTATGCTTTATTTTGATGAGAAGAATATATAAAACAGAATCCTCCAGCTCTGATTGGACCAGGAGGTGAGTGACTCTTCTCCCTGCCTAAGTCCTAAGCTCCAAGGCAGAACCCATGCTCTACCATTCCCACCCATTGCTGCCCCAGTTGCAGCCCAGTAGGGAAGACTCTGGCAGGCAGATCTCCCCACCAATACCCCCTAGGGGCCCTGCAATCTGTAAGACCCACTCCTCCCCCAAACCCACCCATCCCCCTGTGACCTCAGGGGCAACCTGAGACACACAATCTGCCAGTTCTGATTGTACCAAGAGGTGAATGACTGACTCTTCTCCCAGGCAGAAAGTACTGTCTCTAGGACCTAGGTCTTGGGACACAACTCATGCCTCCCACCCCTACTCAGTGCTGCCCAAGTTGCAGGTCAGTAGGGAAGTCTCCTGTGGGCAGGCCTCTGGACAAACACCGCCCATTACATCCTGCAATCCACAATCCCACTCCTACTCAACTCCACCGACCTCCCTTTGACCTAAGTGGCTCCTAAGACAAAGGTTCCACCAGCTCTGATCGGACCAAGAGGTGATCTGCTCTTCTCCTAGCCACAAAGTCCTGACTCTAGGACCTAAGACTCAAGGAACAACCCTCAACTCACCTCCACACCCACACATTGCAGGCCGCTAGGGAAGACTCCAGTGGGCAGATTTCCTACCAATATCCCCCAGGGGACCCTGCAATCTACAAGAACAACTCCCTCCCCCCAAGCCCACCCATCTCTCCGTGACCTCAGCAGCTCCATGAGACACAGAATCTACCAGCTTGATGCACCAAGAGTTCTGATTGGACTAGGAGTGCAGATTGCATCAAGTGTGGGCCCCTGAGACACAGACACAGCCAGCACAGATGGCATCAAGAGCTGTTCCTTCACACACAGACACCTCTTGCACCAACTAGAGGAAGAGTTTGGTAGACACCAGTGCAAGAATACAACATAAAGAGCAATATGTTCTACAACAGCAAGACCTGAATATCACAACATAGCAGCAGAAGACAAGAACCTTAAAATAACTTTGTGAAGATGATAGAGGCTTTTAAGGAGGAAATGAAAAATTCCCTTAAACAAATTGAAGACAAAAATTTAGAAGAAATCAATAAATCCCTTAAAGAATACAAAGAATACCAAGGAAAAGCAATCAAACATATAGCCTAAATCTTAAAAGGTCTTATTAATAAAAAACAAACCTGGAGCCAGGTATTGGGGTGAATGCTGGAAAATCAGAGAAGCAGAACTAACCACAGCCACCTGACCTCACCAATTCCTCAGCTGGTCCTCTTTCCTCAGACTGGAAGCCTCTGAGTCCTCATCCAGAATGGATCTCAGCTGAAATGCTGCTCAAATGCCTAAAAGCTTAACATGGCTCTAGTTCCTGGTTTCCACACCTTATGTACCTTTCTTCTTCTTGCCATAAATGTCTGGGATTAAAGGTGGGAGTCACCTGCCTGGCTGGTTCCAGTGTGGCTTTGAACTCACAGAGTTCCAGATGGATCTCTGCCACCAGAAGGCTAGGATTAAAGGGGAAGGATGGCAGGAAGTGGTAAGATTTGGTGGTCTTGGTTCTTCTCTAGTGCTCCAATCTCTTTTAACTCTGTATTTGGCTGTGTTTCTTATTTAATAAGACCGTTTAGAATTTCGTCTACACAAACAGGTCAAGGAAACTGTTTAAGATCTGAAAAGTGAAACCAAAGCCATGAACAAGACACAAAGAGAGGGAATGCTGGAAACCAAAATCTGAGTAAATGAGCAGGATCTATAGAGCAAGTAAAAGCAAATGAATACATGAGCCGGAAGACAGAATATTGGGCATGGAGGATATGATAGAGGAAATAGATCGGTCAGTCAAAGAAAACACTTCGGCCAAAAGAAGTCATAACTCAGAACAGCATGCTCACTTTGGTATGAGATCGTTCTGGCAGGAGTCTGCTCTCAAATTCTAAAACTAAATGACTCCCAGTCTGACCAGCACTGAGTTCTCTTTCCCTGAGTCTTACACCACAATGGAGAATCAACAAAAAGAAAACCCATGGAAGTCACTGTCAATAGAAGCACAGCTAGTGAGTGGCCGTTGGGGAAATGCAAAGCTTCAGAGAGTTAAACCATCAGAAACATCTGAGAGATGAGCTTCGACAACAAAGATAAAGGAGAAACCCAAAGAATGACTCCCACAGTGTCATGTTCCAGGGTGATGGGAAAGCCTGCCTTTCTGGGGGATATTTGGACCTCAACTCTGGACCCAAACCCCTCATTCCTACACACCTGGCTGCACGTTGGCTGCTGCTTGTCTCTTCACATCTGAAGAGTCTTGTCTTTGCTCCAAAAGTGTCACCAGGTGTGGCTTAGACACAGCAAGTCCTGTTTGCACAAAAAAAGAAGGAACAAGATTGTTTATGTGTTCTTTTACTTGGAATTGACATGTGCCTTCCAGTACATGGCTTATAAGGAAAGAGATGATGAAATAAATGATTGCAGACAATCAGTTTCTTAAATATTTTCTTACAAGATTACTGCACTACATGAAAGAATTTACAATATCTAGATTCTGAATTTCATTTAAAGGGAAGAAAAACCCATGAAAACCGAATGGGGAAACATTTTAATTAACACGTGTACTCCATGTCTCATGCCATTGAATTTCTAAGAGTCCCACTGGAGTTAAGGAAACATACACCTAACACAGAAATTTTAAACACAAAAAGAGAAAAACAGTGAAATGATTCTTTTTTTAATATGTTATTTTAATTTTACGTTTGCATTGGCGATTTACTTGCATGTATGTGTCGGTGACTGTGGTAATATTTTATTTGTGATGAAATGTAGTATTTCATTTGTATGTTAATAAATAAAGTTGCCTGGAGATCAGAGGTCAAATAACCATTAAGCAGAAGTCTGGTGATGGTAGCACACACCCTTAATCTGATCACATGACAGGCAGAGTCTCTGTGTGCTCAAGGACACAGCAGAGTGTGGTGACAGGAGCCTTTCATCCCACTACCAACCATAGAGACCTGGAGGTCTGTAAAGACAAGCAGTGAAGAGGAAGTCATGTGACTGGGCTTAGAGCCAATGAGAAGACAGAACAGAAAGACAATAAAACCACAAGTCAGGCAGGAAGAAGCTCTCTGTGGGGAAGCTACTGCTGGTGGTAAGCTAAGAATAGTCGTGGCTATTGCTCTGATCTCTTTGGCTATTTCCTCTGTATTTGGCTCTGTGTTTCTTATTTAATAAGACTGTTTAGAAATTTGTCTACAGGGGAGGATGAAGTGTTAATCAAATCAATCTGTACAAATAAGAAAAATGGAGTCAGATATTGGGGTAAAAACCTGAAAGACCAGAGACACAGTGGAACAGACACAGTGACTTCCTATATCTTTGGCTACTTGATCCTAAAAGGCTCTGAACCTCTCTCAGTCCTGACTTACCACTTCCGGTCCATCTTTCTACAAGCCTCTGAAGCTCTGTGGTCAGCTAGTGGCTAGCATCACCCTCTGACTCCAAGCAAGCTTTATTTGTCAGAACACAATCCCATGAGAGTGTCAGACCGTGGGATTTTAGACAGTTGTGAGTTGCCACATAGGTGCTGGGGAATGAACCCCAATCCTCTAGAAGAGCAGTCAATGCTCTTAACAACTGAACCATCTCTCCAGTCCTGAAATGATTTTTAATACAGCCATCTCCTTAATTTTTCTGAAAACAAAGGATATGAAAATGGCTGATGAAATGCTCCCATGAGATACCATACAAAGTGAGGAAGCTACATGTTGATGGTGAAATAAGAATTCACTATGGATGAGAGCCTCACCAAGGAACACAAGGTTGCTGTAATTCTCCAACATCACATCCCTGTACAAATTCCACTGAGCAGGCTCCAGGCATTCCCTCTCTTCTGCAGAGAACTCAATGGCCACATCCCAGAAGGACAGCATTTCCTGAAATAAAGATCAATGAATGATACTGCACTTTCATTTAATTAAAACCAATAACAATATTAAGATATTAACAGCGATAATATATTAATGTAAATATATATAATATAAAGAGAATAGAGACTGGTCCTAGAGACAAGCCTAGAACAACAGAATGGACAGAGTAGATACATTAAGAACTGCTGAATCTCCTGTCCATATCCCTCAGAGACACCTTTTCAGAGAACCAGACAACACTGAAGATTGGTGGGAAGTCCAGGCCAGATGCAAAGGGAGGACTGGATTCCTGATCAGGTTCCTAACAGCAGTGACCTTCCATTCAGAGCAGCCTATGTCCTGATCAAAGGACACAGTGCTTAAAATAAAAACAGTAGATCCTCTGGTGTAAGGTCAGGGGAAGGCATCCCAGCTGCAGCTGCAGAAAAAGACCCAGAATGTAACCACAGTAGCCACATCAGTCAGGACTGCAGAAAGGAAATGAAGAAATAATGGAGTCTCAGATTAGATATGAAAGAAGCAACCTGGAAGAAATCAGTCAAACCAGAAGAAATCAACATCAGGTCATAAAAGTGACAAATACAGATTAATATCCAAAAAGAATGAACAATCACTACAAACAGGAATATTTAAGCAGGGCATTGAGAATTCTTCCTCACAGTAAAGGCAAACAATTATCGAATCTCCAAAAGTTAATGTATTCAACAAAAAAACTATGTTAGTGAAAAAACATGTGAAATGTGTCAACAGAAGTTAACAGCAGGGCTGGAGAGATGGCTCAGAGGTTAAGAGCACTGAGTGTACTTCCAAAGGTCCTGAGTTCAATTCCCAGCACCCACATGGTGGCTCACAACCATCTGTAATGAGATCTGGCGCCCTCTTCTGTATAAATAATAAATAAATAAATCTTAAAAAAAAAGAAGTTAACAGCAAATAGTTCTTAAGTCATCAAAGTGTCGATTGCATGGATTTGTCATGGAGCTCACTGTAAGAAACAAGAAATGAAACATAGAAAGTATTTCTCATGACCATGAAGTTAAATGTTTTCAGAACCAGACTCGGGTATCCAAGACACCCATGAATTTGGTATGAAGTAGGGGAGTGTTGTGCCCAGATTGTAACCCCCAGAGAGACCACCAAGGACAAGCATACCAGAATGCAAAAGCAAGGTTTATCTGTTACAAGTCATGACAGGGAACTGAACTCAAGCCATCTCAAGTGAGGCAGAGAAGAGTTAATCTTTCTTGGGGAAGTTAGTTTTTATAGGCAAAACCCATAAAATTTCTTAGAGGGAAAGGGGTTAGTACGGGTCCATCCTTGATTGGTCCAGTTTTTCCCGGGCCTGGACTTTATCT